ACAATTGCATAACTAGCTAGCTAGGAAGCTAATTAAGGTTATATCTAGATCATCTCAGTTATAAGAACAATGCCTCGTTTCAAGGTCAAACTTGAAAATAAACATTTAATTAGCTTGTACAATACATATACGTAGTATATACGTCAACGCGACAATGCACTTTACACGAGTACATGACCATAGTATATTTTATCACTCCGTATAAGTTAAGATGTTTTTACTTGGACTGTAATTTGCCCCAGACCAGACCAGACCAGTTCAGACCAGACCAGACTTGGATAGTTACAAAAATACAAAGAAACCAGACCTTACCAGACCAGACCAGACCAGTTCAGACCAGACCAGACCAGCAAATTACAGTCCAAGTAAAAACATCCTTACTCGTACATGATAATAAAGAAAAATATACTTCATTCGTTTTTTAATTCTTGCAATATTGTATTTTTTTTGCACTATTCACATATCCTACTTTGATTATAATTTTCTACTAATATACATAATCAAATTATTACGTATAAAATGTTATTGAATTCCTATCAATGTGAATTTCCAAAATATCAACCTTTTATAATGTTTACTAATACATAATTAAATATAATTACAGTCAAAATTATGCATTGACAAACGTGAAAGTCAAACTGTTGCAAGAATTAAAGAACGGAGGATAATATACTGTTTCAAAAACTATAGAAGCAAGTACATATTCATTTAAATAGCTTTTTACATTTATGCAATGTATACATATGATTGAACAAAATTTGATTTGTGAAAAATGTATTTAATTTACTCAAGGTCATATACAATATTTTATTAATATTGTTTTTTCAAGTAAATATAAATAAATTTGTGGCTATGGTCATTGATTTTATATTTGCAATTATGCTATTATTATTTTTATTATTACTACTTTTATTGTTAATTTTTTATATCCATTTATTTATCTATTAAATTTTCCCTAATATATTTGTTACAAAAATATATTTTTAATAGGAATCAAGAATTAAACTATGTAAAATAAGAACCAAACCATCAATTAATAATTTAAAAACTAAAACTATGTACGGAGTATATGTATATGTATATGAAATTAGTACCTCCGTCCCGCAAAATTCTTCTCACTTTCCTTTTTTGCCGTTTCACAAAATTCTTCTCACTTACCATTTTTAGACAACTTGTGTGGTTCACATTCATTTCACATTTTTCTTACACAGCCACAACCATACATTTACACTCTATTCTACTTTTTTAATCTTCGTACCAAGTCAAACTGGGAAGAATTTTGGGAAGAATTTTGTTGGACGGAGAGTATGAACCAAACCAAGTCCGATGATAAGAGTTGGCCAACTTGGACCGTTCGACTTGGAGTCTTGCGATTGGTTTAGCTATAATTGGTTTGGTCTTTTCCGAAGCTAAGCTTCGTGACCGAACCACAAAGCTTCGGATATCCTGTCTATAAAATCATTCGTCAACCAATAGAGGATAACTTTAAGCTCCGTGTTGCAGGCAGGCAAAGCAGATATTTTCCAGCTAAGGTAAAGCTTTTTTCCTAACTAGTCCTGTTTAAGAATCTGCAGTTTCGATTCAATTCATTCTGGACAGTAGACGGATCTACTGATCGATGAAACTTTCTCTTGAAAACGGCTGATTGCTACTGCTTGATTTTGCTTTTGCCTTTAAGTGTTTCAATGAATGATTGATTACCTATCTACCGTCTACGGATTATAATTCCTGATCTTCTGTGTTCTTGCGATTTCTGCGGAGTTGTCTGAATCCTGAAAATTCGAAAATTTAACCTTGTTATGCCTTTCCGTGTATCTTGATCAAGTTTTGACGCGGCGTTCTTTTACGTTGACTTGATTTTTTTTATTTCAAATCTGCTTTATTGTGAGATTTCTCCCCGTTATGGATGAATTACTTGCTATCAATCCATGTCAAAATCATCCATGTGTCTCTCTGTATCTGACGACTTTGTTATTTGTATAATTGTATCCCCTTCGTTTAGACTGATAATCACTCGTTAATACTGTGGGACATGTTTTAAGTTTAAACTTTGTTCGGATGAAAAGTAACAGCCTGATTCCAAGAGGGATTGTTTTATGGCTGATACATCTTCTGTGGGGTGTAGTTACTTGTAAAGAGGTATAAGAATTGCAATTCAAAGCGAATCAGCAGAAGGCCAAAACTTCAATCAAGTTTTTTTTGTTATCAGTTTTGAGCTGTAAATTGAAATTGCTGAGATCTTCTATGCTTCATGAATCGAGTATAGTGCACCATATTTATAGTCCCCAAACCTTTTTCCAGCTGGATTTTGCATTCATGTGCTCCTTTTTTAATGTCAATCTTTATGTGGATCTACATAATGCGACTCTGGATCTACGTAGTTAAATACAAGCATTAATTTTGCTTCTATGAGTTCAGATCACAATTGAAAAAAGGAAGGATGGCTTTAGTGTCTAGAGGAAGATTTTCAGGATTGAACCCAAACGCTCCATTGTTTGTTCCTGCTTCGGTTCGTGAATTGGAGGACTTCTCGCCTGAGTGGTGGAACTTGATGAATTCTTCGACGTGGTTTCATGACTATTGGCTCAGCCAGCAGGAGGGTGCGGAGTATGACAACAACCACAACGATGTTGTTGGTTTGTTGCCCGATAACATTGACCTCGATGTTGATGAGGACATCTTGAACATGGAAGCTCAGTATGAAGAGTTTCTCCAATCAACTGCAAGTGAGAAGAAATCTCTCAATACATTCACTGTAATGCCAGGGTCAGGTATGCATGATTTCCTTTTTTGGTTCCAAAGACATGATTGTGATGTGTATGTAGTTTTTTGATAGAGGTGTTTTTTATATCATCAGGTTTGCCAAGTCAGGCAATGGTAGAGAGTTTGAGCCTTCCAAAGGAAAGGGTGTTCAAATCATTTGTTGAGGCACCAAAGTACTACGAGAAGCCGGCAAAGACTGTTAGCCCTAAATGGAACACTCATGTCATCCATCAGCCTCGCTGAATGTACTTTGGCTCTTGTGTAATTTGATGATGGGGGTCACCCAATCATCTTTGATACATGTTGTTTCTTTTGCTTTGTATAGAGCAAGGTAGGTCTTCTCTCATGTAACTAGCCTTGTTCATTTGTAAACGTTTGCTCAGCTTTAACCAGAAACTGTGTTTAGCATAAACCAGTTCTTCACAAAAATGTAAAAAAAGATTTGTAGTTGCATTTCTTCTGGTAAATGAAAGAAAATGTTGACCAAATGCTCCGACTCTTCTTGGCTGGATTGAAGTCTGCAGGTAGTGGTGTGCTTTATGGAGTTTGCCTGGATAAAAATCAAGTTTGATACTCTGTTCCTAATGTATGTAAAAAGAACATGTACATATTAATGAGTTGCTTAAATGTATGACGAAGATGATGAAATACTTATATGCTCTTCAGCTCTTGATACTTGTAGAGTTATAGTTAATCAAAGTTAAATTTAAATAACTTTTAAGGATGTAAAAATATGAGAAGTAACACACTATTAGTAAATTGAATCTGGGTAGTGGGTATGTATAGTGGAAAAAGGTTACAAATACTACGTAATATCTTGAAATTGTAAGAGGCTTAATTTGAATTGGAACGGAAATTTCAGTAATCAACATACATAAGTAACCTGTTTCATGTTAATTATTTACTAACGATTACAATTTACAAGCATTTTTATTCACAATTTTGACATATCTTCCTTTACAGACACACACAACTAGCTCATTTAAGCTCAAGTCAATTCGGCATCTGTGAATCAACCGACATCCATGAAAGTGTAAGACGACTAATTTGGAACAAAATATTGAAAAATGACCTAAATAAGTCATGTTTTTAGTGTTATCTATTGACTATTGCTAAGAGTTTTTAATTCACCGTTTTGAAATCTCTAGGCTGAAGTAATCCGACGTCCACTTATAACCATGTTAAATAGAGGCATTGGTTGAAAGTTGCAACCCTTGAAGTCTTTAACATAGCATTTTTGTTCAACTATGTATTTTTGTTCAACTATGTTCAACTCTCTAGTGCACGTAAACAATTGTTGTCTTTTCTAAACGAGTTGTTCATGTACACATACAACTAGGGAGGGGTGTAAACATTTTGTGTATATTTGGTATACTCCCATGTATACATAGATAATTGTTCTTTTTTTCTAAACGAGATATTTGTATATACATGCAACCACAAGAGTGCGTACACATTTTCTGTACACATTTCGTGTACAATAGATTTTTTGTGGTTATGTATACAAATTCATCCCTATCACGCAAAGGGTTTCATCTTACATTTTTTTCTCATTTATAATTTTATATAAATATGCACATACTTTTTCATGTAACTTATTTAATAACCTAATAATAACTAATAAGAACATCTTACATGTTCAAGTTTAGAAATCACTACATATTGGTACATAAGTAAACATCAAGTGTAATACATTCCTAACAATGCATTTGCATTATGAAATGTCACAATGCTGCTAGTTTACTACAAAGAAATACTACCCCCGTCCCAATTTGATGGTCTCATTTCTTTTGGGCACAAACGTTAATAAAATTGTTGAAAAGGTAAAAATTGTGATTGAAATTTGAGTAGAAAAAGGTGAAATAATGTGGACATCTTTCTTTCCAAAAAGGGAAACAGAACAATCATTTTGGGACATCCTAAAAAGGAATTACGGGACCATCATTTTGGGACGGAGGGAGTATCATAGAAATTCACAATTTAGCTTTAAAACTTAAAAGTCACTATTTTGCATCACAAAATCTCTTTAAAAATGAAAAATTAAATAAAAATCTCTTTGTAAAAGGGAAAGGTTTCTGGAACACTACTTTTAAAATTATTTAATTACATAAATGAGCTCTTGAATTTCCAAATAGGAAACATGAGCTTCAAAGAGTTTCCATACTTTATAAGTTCCAAGTTTCTAACATATGTAAACTTTGCACTATTAATTTTATTTATCCACATTTGCATTTCCTGTTTGCACAATACAATAAAAAAAGGTAAAATTTTAATCAACCCCTTTTGTGTATCTCAGATACAGTTTTACAAATTGCAAACATCAAAGTGAACATAAAATTGAGAGAGTCTAGATAGGGAATTTTTGCGTGAGGTGCAAAGGCTCACGAGATGTAAATAAAAACAAGTTTGAAACAAAGTGTTACAAAGGAAGACATTCAGAGACTAGAAATAATAAAAGTACGCATTCAAATAATATTTGACCACAGCCCTATAACAAAATCTCTACCAAGCACGAGTAATCACAGCTCAAAAAGCAGCAGTAACGGATCTGTGGGTATTAGATTTTGTTTTGCGGCCCCACACTGGATTTGTCTCGATAAGCTTATGTGGGACCAGCCGTTGTTCACGTTTTGTGAGCTTCCGGAAGTTGCTCACTTTTAGTTTAGCAATCTCAGCCTCCTCATTTGGAGTAATCTCCCTCACTACAACTGTCAGTCTACACCGTGGTCTTTCCATCACCCCAGACCTACCCTTAGCGTGGTAGGATACTCTCTTCAAATAGAGTCCTTTCCCAACAAATGCCTCGGCTACACCAAATTGTAAATATACCAAAAGTTATGCTCCCTTCATTCAGTTTGAAAAAAATGGGGGTCGCTGTTATTTAATAGTTTCAACGTCATAAAAAGAGGGGGTAATCTGTGGGTCTCACAAAAATGAATGTGAAAAGGGCAGATACAAAAGGACAGTGAAAAATAATTATATTAACAGAAGATTTAAATTAGAAAATGAACCTAATTTTGGTCAGGCTTTTGCAAATGAAACAGTATATAAATGGATGGGATATAGAGTATAGATATTTTGCTTCACTTACCAACAAGAAGACGGTCTGGATCTAATCCATGATTGTGGGTAGCATTTGCACGCGCTGAATGTATAACCTACACGCCATAACTTCACATTACAAGCATGTATGACAGATATCATCATACCCCCTCCGTCCCTATATTATATTTTCCTTTGACAATGCATACAAATTAAGATAGTGGGTTTTGTGTGGTGGAGAGTTGTGCAGAGGAGAGAGATGTGTAAAAATGTGTAAGAATGGTTGTGAACCACAATTTTTTGCCAAAAAGAGAAAGAGGAGATAATTTTGGGACGGACGAAAAAGGAAAGTTTGAAGATAATTCAGGGACAGAGGGAGTACATAAGCTTTAGAAGTTGGTTCATGGCACAGAAGAGAATAACTTGAACTACTGATATTATGGCTCTAACACTCCAAGGGTCCATTGGTTGGGATTGTATAGGAGATATTTGGAACTTTGGAAGGTTACAAAATGCTGAAAAAGATAAAACATTAGTTCAGATTCAATGAATGTATCTTGAATTAGTTCACACTCTTCTTTAGAGGAAAAGCAAAAACTCTTTCATTTCCTTGGTATCATCCAAGTTCTAAATGACCCTAACTGTTACAAGGGAAGTAACTTGTGAAAAATGTAGACTGAGAAAATAAGTCAGCAGAAAATATTTTCATAGAACATGTTTTATTTGAAACTATGTTGTTTTATGTATATTATATAGTCTAACCCCTCAAATATAGGAGTAATAAAATTGTTTGAGGAGAATAACTTCCTGTTTTGCATAAGGGAGTCAATTTCATCAAAAATCTAAAGAGAGAATCCGTGAAAATCCAGTGCCAAATGCATGAAGTGATGAAGACCATTCCTGGAAAAAATGTTTTCTAGTGTACAACACAGGAAAATCAGAAAAGAATCAAAGACTTCACCTTTTCTTTTTCATGGGAACAAATGGAGCCTATGTCCTTCCCACAAAGCCAAAAGTCCAAAAAAAATGATCATCAGTTATTATCAATCAGCTATCTCACCTGATAAACAGTTTTAGCAGCTCGCTTGACTGTCACTTGCAACTGTAACAGTGCATCTTCAACACGCATTCCACGAACTAATGCGGCGACTAGGTTAACTTTTTTTGGACTCTGCAAACCACTCCCAATCACAGAGAAATAAAGCTATTAAATTTCATTCTTAAAGGAGGTCTTGAAATAGACAGATTAAAAATTAGATAAGTTAACAATGTCTTCTAGGATAAAACGAGGCAAATAAGAAAAAACAAAGCCAGCTTGGGAAATCATGTGATCTGATACTAATATACTATCCCATAATAGAAGCAAAATGTTAGGAAAGAAAATTAGCAATCCAGCTAATCAGGTCTCTTATTTCTCAAGTCATATTTTATAAGCTATGAAGGGTATGTTATACACTTATTCCACACCTGCTTTATTCCCTTCAATACTGCCTGAACTGTTGAGGGCTTCAAAATGGTTTTCCCAGCTTCAGTTTTACCATCACCTGACGCTGCTATAAGAGGTGTTAATGGGGAAGATATGGGTGTTACGTCATCAAGCAATTTTCCTGAGCTACTGATCCCCTGCAATAAGGAGGTCATTTCTTTCCATTATGTACAACTGTTGATAATATTGTCCTTTCTAGAACCCTTGTAACTTTAACCCCCTCCCCTGTATATTTGGTGATTTGGATATACATACAGCTCCATAAAAAAAACAAAAAGGTACTGATATCTCTTTTAAACTTACCGATGCTTGTAGAAATTGGAAATGTGTCCTTGGGATGGAAGGAGAAGGCAGATTTCTCAGGCTATTGGAATAAGGCACCTGACCTAGAACAAACATCAAATTCATCCATAAAGGAAGTTAATATATGTTGCATGGAGTTAATTAAGAAGTTAAATTGAATAACACAAATTCAGTTAAATATAACTACGTGTTTCACACTCAACTCTCAAATTTCAATTTTCAAAGCAAATATGTAGAAAAATAATCTCTTTTATTCCACTAATCATGATATTTTGTTTGAGTTCACTCTATGATATAATCATAAATATTAAATCATGCTTCAGGAAAGAAGATTACCGATAACTTGAGGAGCCTTTGAGTGCAGGTGGGAGTTAAAAGGAGAAATGTGAGAATGCTCAAATCGTCTCCAAGCCTGACGCAGTAAAGACGGCAGATTCCGTCTCCATTCCACCATTTCTTCAGGTTGGAGAAGTATTTGATGTATATGAATTCTACTAACACTAGTGCAGAAACTGGAAGGACAATGCAGGTTTGAGATGTTAATCAAGCCAATTTTCTAGATATATTATATTATTACAGCATTTAATCTAAATGTACTCGTTGTGTACAGGGCGGGTCCTGAGAAATGGGGACCCTGTGCAAGCAAAATACGGAGTCATAATGATAAATTAGTGATAATTTATGCTAAAATATAAATTACTATTTAGTAATATGAAGTAATGTCGTAATGAACATAATAGTAAAAATAAAAGCATTCATTAACATTTCATTTTGAGCGTATTTAGAAGCAAAGTAATCTACCAAACTTTCAATGTCAATAATCTATTTGAGTGTTTCAAACTCTTTGGAAACATATTTACCACTCCTTATCACTTATTGAAATCCTCCACCAATCGTGTATATGTTTAGTGTTTACAAATTTTAAAACTTACAAGTTAATATAAAGTTTGAGTTAAGAACTACGGAGTATAAATTTTAAACCCAAAAAAGTACTCCGTACTCATTAACTATTAAACTAATTATAGTGTAAAACTGGAAATAGGTGTAAAATTATTAAATTAACAACCTAATAACATATTAACATACTAATACGAATTTGGAATTTGTGAAATATAATTAGATTCAATACTTAATAACTTAATTAAATAAATAACAACCAAACTAGTAATTTGTAATTAAAAAGATAAGAGTCAGAAAACATTACCTAGTTGGCTGGTATACGCTGGTTCAGCAATCAGCACTTCAGCGCCTCAGAGAGCCCTGCGAGCGCGGAGGGCGGAGCGGTGGAAGCGGTTCAGCGGACTAGGGTCTGAAGCCTGGAGGCGTGGCGTGGTGGCGGAGATTGAGGCGTCGTCCGAGTGTCCGAAATTCCGGATCGTCCTACGCTTGTTTGCCTATTGTTTGCCGATTGTGAATTTGTGCGCCGAAATGGTGGCCATCTGGGTCGTCTTCCACAACTGATCAACTGGTGTTTGCTGCAAAACGATGAGGCCTCAGTTGGGCTTGGTTTACGGACCTCACACCATAAGAAATGCGGAGATGATGTGGGCTTCAGTTGTTGGGTTTCTAGTGAAATCAAAATCGGTTTTTTTTAGAAATCGGTTTTTCTCAGCTTTAGGGTCTGTTTGCAACAGTTTCTGATTTTAAAAAAGTGTTTTTTTAATGAAATAGGGAGAAGTGATTAAATAAAAGTTGATAGTGTTTGAGAAAAAAGTGATTTTGAAAAGTAAAAGTGGGTAGTGTTTGGTAAAATAAATGTTTTTTGTGTAATAGAAAAAGTAAAAGCACTTTTGACGCGGAAGCCGAGAAAAATAAAAGTTGTACTTTTTGGGAAAATAAGTGTGTTTTTAAAACCAAAAGTTGAGAAATGCTTTTTTAAAAGCAATTGCAAACCAACCCTTAGGGTTGTACCCGAAAAACTTTAAAATGCAAAACAGGATCAAAATAAATTTAACCGCAACAAATTAAATGAATGGCAAAAAAATCGAAACAAAGTTTAAAACACCAAATTGAACTCTTGATTCAGTTTTGGTTTTGGCCCTTCAAAACCAAACCGAATATATTGAACTAATTAAAATATGAAATTTATTTGTTAACCGTTTAACATTAATCCTAATATCATTGATAGTCTTCGATTTCATGTTCTAGAAATATATTTTTGTGTTATGTTTAGTTTAGTTTATAAATGCATTTACGTGATGAAGTTATATTGATCTATTATGTCATTCATGTGTGTATTTTACAATTTATTGCATGATGGTACAGTGATATATTTTTACTGAATATTTTTCCTAACTTTTATTTTCTTATAACTTAAATTTTTTTATTGGTAAAACAATAAATAACCATCTCAACTATATCTCATAAAACATATATTCATTAATCTTTTCAAACTAGCCACAAAATGTAAATTAAGAAAATATACATTTCTGTTCTAAAATTTTGGGAAAATGTATTTCTCTCCCGCATATTCTTATAATTCAAGACATATTTATTTCTCCTCTGTTTAGTTTATTTTTTCTTATAATATGTTTGATCCCCCCAACTACTATATCATTTTAAACCAAATGACAAATTTTTAGTAAAAAAAACTGAAAAAACGATTTTGAACCGAAACAAACTGAATCAATCAAATCATGGTTTCAAGTTTTGAAATGTAAAATTGAATTCAAACCTAACCGAACTTTTTACTTGGATTATTCGTTTAGTTTTTGTCAAAACCAAAATGGAAAAACCAAACCCGGACTCCCATATATATTCAACTTCTCAAAACTGCTTCTAAGAGTAATTTAGAGAATTTAGAAGTACTTTTGCACTTCAACTTCTCATTGAAAGTCACCCTGAATATTTCATGCATCCCGACTTCAACTTCTCATTGAAAACTACAGAGTTACTTAAATAATACTACTTCGTAGTACGTAACTAGATAAAATAATACTCCCTCCGGATGGGTTTGCCAACTTTGACTTTCACGTGGATTAATAAAGTAAAAATGGTGTGGTTGAAATTTGTGCAGAGGAGAAAGAATTAACTTTAACTACATATTCCTTACTTTAAATGAAAATGACAAATCTTTTTTGGACATCCAAAAAAGGAAATTTGGCAAACCTTTTTGTGACGGAGGCTGGGGAGTACTAATTATATCTCATTGAAAACTACACAGTTAGAAATAATTTTCATGAGAATATAACACATTGAGTTCATTGATGATAAAGATATATTATTTGATAAATAATTTGTCCTTTAAGAGTGTTAGCTATTTCCTAAAATATAAATATGATCCTTTACTGAGGACGTTCAAAAAAGTACTACGTATCTGACAATTTAAGAACTTTGAGTTGGGAAGGACGGGATACTAAAAATAATTCGAGACAAATACCATTGATTAGTTCGGTTTAAAAAACATAAAGTACAAGATACTCCTAAACAACTAGGCTTGATGCTGAAATGTAGAATGCATTTCAGAATTTTAACTATTGAATTAAGACAATTGCTCTATTCATCCGTTAAAATTTTGTTAAGGTTGATCAATACAAAGAATAATAACGTAAAAATTGTATAATTGATGTTTGTGTAAATGAGAGAGAACTGAGAAGTAACGAAAACTACACAATAATTGATTAAAATGGAATGTCACAAAGTTTTTATTTTTTAAGACGACAAAAGATAACAAAACTATAAGAAACGGAGATGAGGGTATACTGTTCATAAATGCTTGTTTGCCACATTTTCTTGTTTGAGCAATGCTTTAAACTTATATATATTCACTTACGTTAGAATTTGTTGCATCAAATTCGTGTATGAGTGCTAAGTTTATTCACTATTGAGATTTCCTTTTCTCTTTTTAAAAAGAGAAAAGCTATTTTGGATCGCAATTTATCCGATAATTGAAAGCAAACAAAGCATTATAATTTGAAAATTGGTTAAAGACTTAAATAGGGCCTGTTTACTAACAGAAATATTTTCTTGTTTTCTACTTCTGTTTTTCGTTCTCCAGTTTTCTGTTTTTATTTTTCAGTTTTTCTATCCCCAATTTTCTGTTTTTATTTTTTAGTTTTCCATTTTCAAATCTGAAAACATGCTCATCAATTTTTCCATCCAGTTCTGTGATCATCCAGAAGACTAATGGCATGTTTACTTCACGGGTTACTAAATGGTGCTTATTAAGACCCGCGTTGATAATTCCCTAAAAAAAGACTTGCGTTAATAAGCGGCGCATAAAATAAGCAATGTTAATAAGCATGTTTACTTCAAAATGTTTAAAACCCCGTTTAACATTAAAATGTCAAAATTAACTCTATACATATATAGACATACAAACATTCATAAACACAAATATATAATATAATATGTGGGGTCGATCACCTCGTACGTGTACTCATACCCCTAACCCCTACCCCGCTCATATACCTCGTACCCCCACCCTACACCCTATACCCAATTCCACACCCTTGGCCCATACCCCTATCCTTACCACGATCTTAAACTCTACCCATATTCCCCTACAACCCTTCATACCCACCCATACCTACCCATAGGGGTGGGGGTGGGGGTAAGGGGTATGGTCGAGGGTGGGGTGGTAAGGTCTAGAGGTAGGGTTGGGTGGGGGTATGGGTTAGGGGTAAGGGTGGGGGTAGTGGGTGTTGGGGTAAGGTAGGGGTAGGGTAGGGAGTTGGGGTAGGATGGCGGTATGGTGGGGCCGGGATCAAGGTGGGGTCGGGGTAAGGGAAACGTAGGGTGGGGGGGTAGGATGACGGTAGGGTGGGGGTAGGATGGCGGCGGGGTGGGGCCGAGGTAGGGGGCATGTGGTAAGGGGTAGGGTATGGGTGGGGGTAGGGTGGGTCGGGGTGTGGCCAAGGTAGGGGGGTGGCAGTAGGGTAGGATGGATCAGGGTGAGGCCAAGGTAGGGGCATGTGGTAGGGGGTGGGGTAGGGTCATTGTAGGGAAAAGGGGTACGCGGGGTGGGAATAGGTGGGTAGGGTAAGGGGTAAGGTACGAGAATGGAGGTGCCGGAATGGAATCAACATCGAAGCGGGACCGGACCCACCAGTAGGTGTAAGTATGCAAATTCATTGCAACGACACTGTAGCATCTGCGTTTTTCCAAATTTGGAAAACTAGTTAAAGTCACTTCTCCAAATCATTAAGAAAAAAAGAGACATGTCTCATTTTTTCGTTTTGGAAAACGATTTGGTAAACGCGTTTTTCTGTTTTCTTTCTCCAGTTTTCCATTAATTTTCTTTGGTAAACATGTTTCCTATTTTCTGTTTTCCAGTTTTCCAGTTTTCTGGAAAACTAGAAAATATCTCCGTTAGTAAACAGATCCTTAAAGTGAATAATATTGTGAAAATTTACCTAAAGGAGTTTGTGAAAACATTCACGATTGTGTAGAGAAGCCGGGAGGTAGTAGAAAAAAAAGAAGATCAAGTAACTTCACGTTAGGAATTAGCATATTTCTTTGAAAACGCCTTTCAAGAAAAAAAAAAAAAAACTTTTTGAAAACTTTTCAATCAAAGTAAAGGAATTTGTGAAAATTTTCTACGAATGTTTGATAATCACCCTTCATTTTTTTCTTTTGTCAAGATCAACATTGCTACGATATTGGGGGATCGATATATACTTTTTTGTCGTAATGTTATTATGTTACTTCACTGTTTTTTTTAAACTTTCCTTGAGTAGGTCCCATTTTTTAGAAGAATGAAAATTAAGATTGAAAGAGTGAAAAATTATGAAAATGGAAAACTATTGAGATAATGCGTCTAAATTTAGAGCCCGTTTGGTAGTAGCCAAATAGGCTCTATTGGATGATTCTGATGAAATTTATCAAGTTCAAGCTGATGTGACTTTATTGGCTGATTCTGCTGATTTGTGAAAAATAATAATTTAAAATACATTTTATTAATAAAACAAAGAAAAAATTATATAAAAAATAGCTAAAATGGCTCTCTACAGTAACTTCAGCCAATACAGTCAGAAAAGTAACTCTAACTTTACTTTTTCTTATTATTACACAATTCAGACCGTAAAACCAAAAACTTACGCGTTTGGTGAAAAAGTTGGCTTATAAGTCTGAATAGCCAAAATTCATGGCTACCAAACGGGCACTTAGTCTCATTTAAGATTGAAACAAGTATCAGTTAAACCATCTTCATACAGTGGAGGTGTTTGTATTTTGGCGGATTGGAAGCAACACGCTGCAAAAAGCAGTGTTTGCTATTGCAAAAAAAACGACGTTTCAGGGTAAAAAGTTACTACCTTCGTCCCACTTTGTTTGAGACAATTCGGTTTACGATGCTTGACCGATGATAAAGCAAAGAAATCCCTGTCCGCACTAAAAAAAATTAGAGATTTTCTTTTACATATTCAGAAACTACATTAAAAACTTTACAAATTCGCAAAAACCAGAATCAAATTTGAAAAAAGTTTAATATATAAAGTAAGAGATTCAGAGTGATTTGTGTTGACCAAGTGAATAGTGTCTGAGACAATCTTAGCGAGACAGAGAGAGCATAACCCAAAGACCCCCAATA